GAGAGATACTATATATATATATATAGAGAGAGAGAGAGAGAGAGAGATTAAGAGTGAGTCATAGAGGAAAACAAAGATTCTAAAACGATTTCACAAATGGTACTTTAAGTAGAATTAGAAATTTGGGAAATGACCTTGTGAGACCCTCTCCCACCCCTGTGTATAGGACCTCAAAGGATCACCAGTAAATTTGGCACAAATATCTAGAAAAGTCAAGTCCCACACCCATGTGATAACTTTTCTAGAGATCTGTGCCAAATTTAATGGTGACCATTTGAGGTCCTACACACATGGGTGTGGGAGGGTCTCATAGGATCAGTACTCTAGAAATTTTACATGATTCTTATTAAACATAATTCCAAAGAGTGGCTATATTTTTTCGAAACTTTGAAGGAAAAGTAGAAGAAAAAAGTAAGAAGAAGCAGTTTTTATATTTTCTTATTAGGTAATATTGTGGCTGTCATTAATCATGAGCTAAGACAATCTTGAAAATGATTCAAACTAAGAGAGATCTATTGGTAGATTCATATCAAAACTAACACAAAGAATACTGAAACATTAGCACCAGCTTAATTCCTCCAATAGTTTATTGTAAAAGATCGGAATCCTTCCACACCGTTGACCAAGCATTTAGCGCATGTAACTGAAGGAGCTAATGACAAATATAGCCCTAGGATTTATTCTCAAGGATGATACTCCCCTTAATAACTGAACTTACTGATCTAAATCATTTAATTAGTATGCCTAACATCATCACAAATGTGTCTCAACAACTCATTAGTCCTCCTAATAAGTCCATCATGTAGACTACATTGGTTTTTCTTCATGGCGCTGATATGGACAGTTTACATATTTATAATTCCAGTTTTTGCAAGGGGATTTGATCTTCTTTATGGCGCTAATATGGACAGTTTACATATTTATAATTTCAGCTCTGAAAGGGGATTTGATCTTCTAGAAGACTAGAACAATATAACTTAATTGTATATCTTCTTATTTTAGTTCTGTGAGCATTTCAGCTCTACAAGGGGATTTGATCTTCTAGAAGACTAGAACAATATAACTTATTTGTATATCTTCTTATTTTAGTTTTGTGAGCATTTCAATTCTGCAAGTAAGGGGATTTGAACTTCTAGAAGAATTTAACTTAGTTGTATATCTTCTTATTTCAGACCGCAAGATTATGAAGAAGTCATTGCATACCAGTTGGATTCTCACAAATATTTGGAAAAACTTTTCATAACAGAGAAATTAAATGACAGAGGGATTCCAGAATAACGCAATAGAGAAAGAAGAAAAAATGTAATTGAAAGACGGGAAGAAAAAAAAATGAAATTTAAAGGAGGATTACACAAGGGAAAATACAATAGAACAATATGTCGATAGTGGCAGAAAAGGCTTGCCTGAGACAAAATAATAGGCCCTCCCTGTGAGGCAAAAAATTTCTCTTGCTTCATCTTGTTCACTATCAATGTCGTGAAGTTCGCCATGTGACTCTGAGTGAAAATAGAGGATAAATATGAGAGGCATAGTATGTTAAATAATACACGAAAAGTTTTTAGTTCTATGAAGAAACTAATGCGTCCCACCACACAATACACAAGAGGAAGTATAGCATATATATATATAT